TCTTTGGGCTGAACGCACTCGAGATAGCCACAATCGCCCACGCCAAAAGATTTCTGAGCCAGAAGGTGGTTCAGAAAGTGATAGACAATATCTGGAAGGGCGAGATTGTTTTCTGGGACTCTTTGAGCGTGCATTCAAAGAAGAAACCCCAATTTTTCAACAAAAGGTAACCCGCCTCTGCGCTACCTGACCTAGTTGCCAGATGCTGATATCCATGTCTGGCAGAACCGCCGACCCATACTCCCGATTGAGAGTGCCAGTGTATCGAAAGGCCTTTGAAGCGGCCTTCTTTGTCTCGTTTCTGTTTCTCTATTATGCGGTCTTAGTCGAGAGGAAGCCTACTGGCATAGGTATCTTTGAGACTATGATGTACATCTGGATCGCTGCCTTTGCATACGATGAAGTCAGCGGGATGGCTGATGCCGGAATGCTCTTCTACCAGATGGACTTCTGGAGCGCTTGGAATATGGGAATAATTGGCACAGGCCTTGCCTTTGTCATTGCCAGTGAGTCATTTGCACCATGCTATAGATCTGCCTTGTCCGCATTCAGCTCTTTCAGCTGGGCCTGTTTCCGCAGCTGGGCTCACTTAGCGGGCCGCAGTGTGGTTCGACCGTTGACTTACACGACCATCCAGGGATTATTGGACTAGCCAAACAAAGTGATTACATCACAGATCTGTCGTTTGATATTCTATCGTTGGAGGCTTTGTTCCTGGTTCCAAGGTAAGACTAAGGCCCCCTACTCCGACGATCTTGATACCTGTTTCATGTTCTGACACAAGAGCTGAACAGGATCTGCTCCCTTGTGAGTTTGAACTCCTATTTTGGAAGTCTGGTAAGGCAATCCGTGCAGGCGTAGACCCGGAAGAACCCTGTTCTGGAAGCCACGTTGACAGTTTCGACGCACAGATCCCTGTTCTCAAGGAGATGGTATAGTTTCTCCGCTCGCCCAGATGGTGGCAGGTGGCGAAAGACGCTGATAAGGGGGTCTAGACAAAAGCGTTTTTTCGATTTATCCCGATAGTCGTAGTGCTATACCTTGGTAGGTGACCCCGATGACGCATAGGACGAGGCCGAAGAAAGCCAACGCGCGGTAAATGTGCATCTGCAGGGTTCCTGACCACCTTCACGATGCTCGCCCGTGACCGCCTCTCTCTGCGGCAAATGTCATGGATTTTGGTGAAAGTGTTCTTTGGGTATGGCGGTGAAAATGCCCCCTCAGCGACCGCTAGTTGACTGACAGAGCGAGGCAGATCGAATGTGCTGGGCTTCGTGCGTTGTTCCTAATCGGGTAACATGTGTTCTTCAAACTGACGGTGGCTGAAATGATTGGAAAAGGACATCGCTCACGATGTGAGTCTAATGCAGCAGCGCGGCCGCCATGCAGCCCAAACCCGAATTTCCAGGGGTCTTGCAGAATCGGTTGGCTCTCGTGGAAAGTTTTACTGACACGCTAATTCTTAGATTTCCCCGATCTTTGGCTACGGTCTGATGTGAGTGCTTCTCCAATCCCCAGTCCTCTACTGCGCCACAGGCTCCATGAGATGTGTCGGTCGCATACAATTTTGGTCACGTTGGGTGTGTTTCCAGCTGCCCTGCGACCGCGATGACCAGCCATGCATTTCCTTTCTCCTCCTGATGCTTCTGTGGGATATTGAGGCGATGCGACCCAGTTCCGTTCCTAGAGGCTGGAGACCCGGTGCCGCCCGGATACACATGGCGTCAAATCGGTCGCGGCGCAGGGTAAAATGAAGCCTCGCGTGTTCTCGCGAATGGCGGCATTCGGACGATCATTCCGGCATAATAATTTCGGTGCTTACAGGAAAGTGGCTGATTGGTATGGTCGACAGGTTGATTTTCGTTTCGATGACCAACCTTCTGTTGATCTCGTCGTTGGTCAGTCTTATGAGCATGAGTCTGGAAGGGGTAAGTCGCTCCAACTGTCCAAATCATACTACCACTTCGACTACTACTAGGTGCGGGGCTTGCCCGGCCTCCCCTCCGACATGTTGTTGTTAGTTATGTTATTGTGCATGAGCCATGCTAATCTGTCTACCCAACTGTGCCCTTCATCCAGGTCATGGCGCATGCCCGAGAAGAGTATCTCTTTCAGTATGTGTCATACTACTTTCCTTCGGCCCTACGGCTCCTCCCGCTAATGTGTGTGGCAATAGACTGTCTATCTATGTGCTCGAGAGCAGTAATTCTCGGAGATTGACGTATTTCATGCCTCCCTTGGTCAGTAAACAACCCCCACGATACCTAATTTTTGGCCCCTGCATGACTGGGTTGGGTGGTGTCGCTGACAGCAGTCATGACTCCACGATAGAACCTCATTCCCCTCCTCTGTATCCGCCCCATGAGGCTCTTCTTACCTGCAGAGCACATCCGCCGGGTGCGCATCGTTCTGCTCCGGGCCACCCACCTCCCGTTTGTCGCACTGATCTGGGCCTATGAATCTAGCCGCCGCTACGTCTCTCGGGGAAATAGCCAGTTTCCACCAACTGCCACGACCACCACAAGCAGTCGACCAACATCCTCCATCCAGATGGGGTTCCCTTTCTCCACGCACCATGCCCCGCTCCATGCCTCCGCACTGGAAGGGCGTTCGTGGGCATCCAGCCGGCCTAAGGAACGGTCTAACCCGGGCCAGCATCCCGAAACGCGCGGACCAAGTTCGGGCCTGGCTGGGCGTGGTGACACCGCGGACATGATCGACGAGGTGGAACGGTTGCGCACACAAGTGGATCGAGTGGCTGCTCGGATGGCCTTTCACCAGCGAAGCCAATGAGGGTAATTACAGAAAGTCGGAAGAGGTGTCAGAAAGTGGTATATTACGGTGCAGGGCAGAAGGAATGGAAGGAGGGGAGGGGACCACAACGGAAGGATGATATACACACGCACCTGGCGTCAGGCCGGTGCCAGAGCCTAAAGCATTAGCGTGAGCACCGGCCAGTGACCATTTCGTAGGTCGGAGGGACGGAGTAGTTGGAGACCCGCCAGCGACGAACAACTTCTTTGTACGGAGTGCACTGGGCGATTGTCGTTTGTAATTTGTCATTCTGTTATATTTCTTCAGCGATTTTTTTTTTCTCATTCTTTTTTATTTTGTTTGGGTTCTCTCTCATCACAAATCGATGTAGAATAGATTCCGAGATGGGTTTTAGATGATGTTAATACTACTAATTCCACAATTGGGTCTCTCAGGGAATCTGTTCGAAACAGGAAAAATAACAACAAAGGAAGGCAGTAGATTAATTGATCAGGAACCGAACCCAGCAGATAGCAAGAAAAAGAAAGAAAAGAAAGGAAAAAATAAAATAAAAATAAATTAAGAAATAGTAATTTCAGAAGATTACCGAATGATACCATGAGTGAGCGGCAGGTAACTAGTAACAGGGAAACTGGGCCACTGCCATGGTCGTGGGAAAGCCAGTGTGTGTGTCTAGTACAATACTACTCTTTGGTACAGACCAGGATTAGAGAGCCGGGAGCCCCTCTTCTGCCCTGCCCAGTTAGTTAGTTGGTAGTAAGTAGTAGGTACAGTAGTAGTGGTGGTCACTCTCCCTTCCGTCCACAGCCTGACTGTCACTGGTCTGCCTGTCCGCCGTTCCCTCAACCACCGAACCTCCTACTTCTCTTTTCCTCCTCCTCCTCTTCTCCTCGCTAACTGTTAGTCCTACTAGTATACTCCGTCCCGCGCAGCAACCATATCAACCACCACTTTTTGCAACATCTATTCTTCTCACGTCCACACTCTCTCTTACTTTCAGGTACCCTTCATTGAGGCTCTGATGTACCGCAGTACCTGACTGGGTATTATTTTTGGCTTATGCATACTACTTCGCCGATAATGAGGCAGTGTTGCCAACCGGCCTGCTTTGGCGACACGCACTGCAATGCTGCTTCGCCAAGCTAGGTACCAGACTGTCGGGTCCTACTATTCCCGTTTCATTAAGAGCAGGAGAACAGGAGAAAAGAGGGAAAAAAAGCGCGCTGCTCCAGCCGACTATTGCTGATCAGGAAGCCAGGCATTCCCCCCGTCCATGCTGCCAATAATTCAGCCGCTATTGTTGCCCGTCTTTTCCCCAGCGCCATGCTTGTTGTCCCAAGAGGCACTGCATCCCCTAACCTAACGGGGTCTCCTACCACACACCCCCACTACACATTCACAATTACCACTACTATCTGGTTCCCTACATTTCTCTCTACGTTTGTACCATTCAGATGTCATGATTTCCCTGGCTGATGGATCTGCTGGGTCCCGGTCATGTCCGCTAGGCGACAAATGACGGCGTCGTCCGGTGTGAATCAAACCATGCACCATCCACACCCACACCCCCCTCCCTCTCCCTCTCCCTCCTCGCGACAGGGTACAGCGCCGACTGACACCTTGGCCTGATCACACCCTTCCGGCGCTAAATTCTTGCGCATGGCATCTAATTGACGCGCCTATCTGAATAATGTTGCAGACCCAGGCTGCAGTCCACTTGGACCGGGTTGTTCCAGCTAGGTTCGCTCTGAATTCTTCCCCATCCATGCAACAACGTCCCGTCAATTCTGCCTTGCCTGATGAGGCGTCAAACCTGTTGCTCATCTCTTCTTCTTCTCTCTACCTGTGCCCCATGCAGCGGTTGCTGTACTCCAATCATCATATGGCATCCCCCGAGATATTTTTTTCAGCTGCTGTTCATGGTTCGCCACTTACTCTCATCTTCCAGCAACGTTGCTGTTGAGTCTTTTTCTACTTATATACACTGCAAATAACTTCCTCACTCTCGTTTGAATAGCATCTACTAGTCACCAATATTGTTGCCTTCCCACCAGCCCTTCCCCAGTTTCAGCCACAGGACGTCGCGGGAATTCTGTGAACATAAAAGCGATCCTTCGACCCAGAAAACGTCACGAATCACCCTTCTCCTGGTTGCAGCTTTCCCCGAAAAATTTTTTCTCCTTTCCCCAATTCTGTTCTGTTTATGATTAAATCTTAATTTCGTCATGGATTGTACACCTACCTCGTTCCCATCCTCTCCCTTGGCTCACTCGGCGCGGGATGACCAAAGGTTACTCAAAGCTTCTCCGGCCTACCCATCCCCAACGGCTATTCCCCTCGATAGATACGATTTTCAGTCGTTGTCCGGGTTAGGAATCTCCAGTTGTGGAACAGGATCCCCTTCAAGCCAGATCAGACTCTACCCGTGTCCAGAGCAATATGCACTTTCAACGAGCAACTGGTCCGACCCAGTAACGCATTCCCCGAATATCCTCGAAACCCCTCCAGACGCCGGTCAGTTTCCGCCCAGGACTCATTACGAAGCATTCGGTAGCCATGCAGATATCTCAGTGTCACCCAGTTACAGCCCGGTCATGGATTTTGGCGCGATGCATGATGAAATACCTCGCTTCTGGCCTAACACTCCTACCTCCGAAACCATGGCAGCGTCAGAAGGCTGGTCCAACGTTCAAGACCCGATAGAGGACGTTTGGGAATCGTCTTTCCTGGAGGAATCATCCAATACGATGGCCTCTAGGATGCCAGAGATCCCTCGACTTCAGATCAACACCGCATATCTGCATCCTCAACGCCCGGATAACTCCCTAACTGAGATGGATCCGAGCAAAAGTGTTGCGCCGGATTTGGTCCCTGATGAGGCAATTTCGAAGTGGATCGAAAATGTTAGCGAATCGCCCAAGGGAGAACAGTCGAGGATACCGTCGGCGAGCGGCTTAGAGTGTCCTACGTGTGGTGTCCGCTTCACACGACGCTCTAACTGTAAAGAGCATATGAAAAGCCACGATCCTAGCTACGTAAGGCCACATCCGTGCGAGACTTGCGGGCGGGAGTTTAGGCGGAGGACTGACCTGAAGAGACACGTAGATAGCGTAAGTCACATCGGATAGAGCGAAGTTCATTACTAATAGGATGCGCAGATCCATCGGGGCATACGCAAATTTGGCTGCGAGAAATGTGGTCGGCGCTATAGTCGACAGGACACATTGTCAAGGTACCGTATCTTGATTCAACACCAATGTGAAACAACGAACTCACTCTGCTACAGACATCAGTCCGACGGCTGCGATGGAAGAATCCGGAAGACACGAGCCTCCCGAAACGACACAGACGCGCCATACCCCACTCATGACTACTACGCACACCAAGCAGCTATTTGACGGTTTGTTTGCCTGCTCTAGACCATGCCTGCGTTGATCGCAGCTGGCCATGAACGATACGGCTGCATACTTTTGGAGAGGATCCACTGTATATTTGAAAGCATGACTACCCATGTATTTGTTTTTGTTTTTTGTGTTTCCTTTGTATAAGCGCAGGGAGGCAGTTTGCTTTTGTTTTGTTTATTTTTTCATCAGGGAGGCCTTGTCGACTTTTTGTTTTGCATATTTTTGGAATATCGCTAGAGATCCGTCGTCACCCAAAGGCGGCTTATAGAAATTAAGCAGCGCATGGCAGGTCCATGCCTTTCGTTTAACAAACTTTAGCCGCCACAAGTGCCTCTTCCGTCTCTTAGGCCATTCTGATTATTCGTGCAAGTTGTTTACAACTTACTTTTGTGGACCATGAAGTGGACCGTTTGTTTAGGTCCACCCAACAGCAGCAAGACTTTAGGCCGCATGGCCAGAGTGAGCTCACGAAAGAGCGTTGCAGATTATTCACATCGCTTGCTCCTGCAGAATAAAGCCTCACTTTCAAAACCATCGGGAGGACTTCCCGATTTCTCTTGGTCCGAACCTGTTACAAGACCATTGTCGGAAGAGATGGGCCCCGGAAGAGGCGCTACTAGGCCGGCTGTTCCATTATTGATTCACGCAATCCTATGCCATCTCGCTATCTATGGAGGACCACCCAATGGCGCGTCAGTATCGACGAATATTATCGCCGTGCTAGGCATTAGTCGGGGAAAAAGTACGAAGCGGAGGAGCATGGACATGTTCCGGTCTTGCACGACTCGTTAACAAGGTGCAGCGCGGAAGCTTATACCAGCTAGACACACCAGGAACGAGCCAAGTGCTGCGTTAATTGCCCTAACAAACTTAATACACGCCGAAAATGCAGTCCACACGGAACGGAATCGGACATGGGGGGCAGGATAAGTGGGTTGACGGGCCACTTAACGATGAAGGAGCGGCGCGAGGAACGGGTCCCTTGAGCACAAAGAAAGACCAGAGACACACGATAATAGGAATGCTCCATACGTCCGCGGGAGTTGTCAGCAAGGCCTACCTATCGTCGTGCGCCATCGAGATAACCATTACCGTTCTGGGTTGGGGGACTATGGGGAAGTCGGAAGGCTTCCTAGTGGACCCATCGAGACTAACTGAAGGCACGGAAGTTGGAACATGCTCTGAGAGTCCTTCCTCTTTCGCGGTGATCCCCGCGGCGCGAGTGACTTTTATCTGCGCACAATGGCTCCAACTCTAAGTCGAGTGGAGCCAGGACTCCGTATATCATCACCCATCCGATAGTTCTGCGACCGGCTATGGTTCGATTTATCGGCTGGAAGAATCCAGACCCCTAAGGAGCTGGTTTAGGTTCAAACAAGCGCGACACGGACTGATCCTGCCAAGCGCACGGCACGGATACCTTGACCCTTCGGATGTTTGATCGACTGCGCTGTTGGTTTATCATTTGCGACTTTTGCTGCTTCGAGAGAAGTTCAGACGTTCTTTGTGTGACGTGTGTCGAGTTCTCCCTGATAATCTGGGTTGACGCGCCCAATCTTCCCGCATTGCAGCCATAGAATGATTGAGTTAGTGGTCGGAGTGACCGTCGCTGAAGGCGGGGAATCATGAATGGCGCCATTTTTCTCGATACCAGAAACTAAGCGCGCGAGTGGAAATTAACTCCGCCCAGTACTGAATAGCTTCGTTCCAAACTCCGACCACGGGAGCAGGTCCAACGAAGCTGCTAAATCAAGGGGCAATACACTAACGAGCCATCCTCATATTAATCACGGCCTAGTCAGCTACTACAAATGGGGGCTACGATGGGATTAACGCCTGGACCAATCCTGACGCCTTGTGCATTGGACGCTTATTGGCCCTTGCTGGTTGTTTAGCGACGAAAGTGTTTACGACCTACTAATCGGACGTCCGCGTCCGACGGATCCGAAGAGAGCAATGAAGATTAAGCGACAAGAGCTGTCTTGTCGGACAACTTCCACCTGGATACCAAGACACTAGACAGTCCGTCTGTGATGTTGGTATGGTCTAGCACTACGAGTGTGCTTGTTGCGCGGCTTTCGACCCCAGTGATAGGTTGTGTCAGGCTCCAGCAATGAGCAGGGAAACTAGGACCCGACGGAATGAGACACCCCGATCAATTGGGGCCGAGTCAGTAAAATAATTAACCGGGATGGTAGACGCTGTTGAGCGGCTGGCCATGTCCCACCAAGTTCTGCAGCTATATGCGTGGACAAGAGGCTATGCTATGCCGAGTCTGCAGGCCTGAAACTGCCGGACTGAAGAACATGCCTGCAATGCGCCTCAACGGAAAGTTGTTGGTTATATTTGCCAGGCATACAGCGCGGAAGGTCTGTCGGCCCCATCAAGTTGGGTTTTGACAGGATGACCAGGCATGGACAGGCATCGTCTGTCCACCTCGATCTGCTTTGGACTGATGCAAACAGCCAGCGGGTGGTTGCTTTTCTAGCCTCTGTACTGACTGACGTTCAATCCAGCTGCTTGCAGACCTGGCCAGGGAAAGGGAGATGCCACGGCAGGGTATTCGGCTGACATTGAGCGCATGATTGGCATTCTGCTCCGACATACCAGTGAGAGAGCGCCGGAGTATCCTGTTTTCCGAAGCAATTATGCCGCCAGCCAGAACAGTTTGTCCGTAGACTGCACAAGAACAATATAAGCAATAGGGCCGTGAATGACCCAATTGCAAGAGGGAAATGATGAACCGCGCCGCCCGATGGGTTTTCTGCCACCGCCCTGGCGCCCGCTCTGTTCTCCCCACATCGAGGGGGTCGTTCTCCCTCCCCAAGATTTCACTCTTTTCGCCCCATTCTGTACAGCACCGGAGGCCTAGTCGATTTCTTCCATCTTCCAGCCAAATCGTCAGGATGAGTACCACCACTACCGTCACTGAGCCGCCGAGAATCACGGCTGAGAATGTCGCGACTCTCTTCCCCGAGGTTGACACTTCTCTTGCGCGGGAGGTGCTCCCCACTGCGACAAGCAATGCCTCCGCCCCGGGCGACGAACTTGCCGGTTACGATGAGGAACAGGTCCGCCTGATGGAAGAGGTGTGTATTGTGCTGGATGACGATGACAAGCCGATTGGCAGTGCCAGCAAGAAGGCTTGTAAGTTTATCGATCTTCACCAGCTTTGAAAGAAAGTCCATGCTGATGGTGCGACTCTACAGGCCACTTGATGACCAACATTGATCGCGGCCTCCTCCACCGTGCCTTCTCCGTATTCCTCTTCGACTCGAACAAGCGTCTGCTGCTCCAACAACGTGCGACCGAGAAGATCACCTTCCCCGACATGTGGACGAACACCTGCTGCTCCCACCCCCTGGGCATCCCCGGAGAGACGGGCTCGCAGCTCGATGCTGCCGTGCTGGGTGTGAAGCGCGCGGCGCAGCGCAAGCTGGAACACGAGCTGGGTATCAAGCCGGAGCAGGTGCCGCTGGACAAGTTTGAGTTCTTCACCCGCATCCACTACAAGGCGCCCAGTGATGGCAAGTGGGGAGAGCACGAGAGTATGTCGATACCCGTGATGAGCTTTTGGACAGGTGGCTGACCATACCCAGTTGACTACATTCTGTTCATCCAAGCGGACGTGGACTTGAACGTGAACCCCAACGAAGTGCGCGACACACGGTATGTGTCGGCGGACGAGCTGAAGCAGATGTTTGAGCAACCAGGACTGAAGTTCACGCCTTGGTTCAAGCTGATCTGCAACTCGATGCTGTTCGAGTGGTGGAGTCACCTGGGCTCAGCATCGCTAGAGGGATACAAGAACGAGCAGCAGATCCGGCGGATGTGAATGAGGCGAAGACGATGACGATAAAGTTGTGATCTTTTTGCATCTGCAGCCTGTACACGGTTACCATACATATATCCCCTGACATGATTCCCTGCAGCGTTTGATGGCCCTATCCCATACATACTATCGAGTGTAGTGTCCATTTAGCTTTGTTTATAATCATAGCTCACTACCACCACTACCATACCAACCCAAAACATGCCCAATAAAATCAATTTGTACTAGCATCCGTCGCCAAAAACAACACACAACTCCCCAAAATCACCGTCCCGACCACCGTAAACGTGACCTGCGTCTTCCACCCACTCTGCACGAGCGCCGCCTTGCGACTATATTTCTTCACCGTCCGCACATAATTCGCAAACCCATTCACCAGACACGCAATACTCAACACCCAGAAGACGATCCCCAACGGTAACGCCATCCGTCGCTCTAATCCCGTCGGCGGCGTCTGGAAATGGAAACTGATTATGATGGCGATGGCCACGATGGCTAGGTACATTGAGAGACGCAGCCAGGAGAGAAAGGTCCGCTCGTTGGCGCAGTGGTCGCGCGCATCGGAAGTGGCGTTTTCGAATAGTAGCGTGGAGATGTACGGGCGGGTTAGGAAGATGTGTGATTTTAGGGAGATTTGTCTGGTTTTTTCTTGTCATTTTTGGTTTCGAGGTGTGGGGTGGAGGGAGAGGGTGTGGACTCACTCATCTGCGAGGATTGGGCGCGTGTTGGAAGGGTTTATAATTGGGTTGTAGGGGGGTTTGGGGAGGGTGTGGTTGTTTTCTGGTTCTTGGGATTCTGGGGGTTCTTGGTGTTGCTGTTGGGTTGTGGTGGACATGGTTGTTATTGTTGTTGTGTTTCCTCTTGTTCTTGTATATTGATGATGTTGTGTGTGTGGTGTGCAGTATGCGAGAAAAAAGCTACGGTGAGTTTTTATGGGATAAATTTAGTTAGTAGTAGCCTAGTAGGAGTGGTAGTAGCTAGTAGTCATGCTATATCGGTGTATGTCTTATATGAATGCGCCTACATAAAGCACAAGCACAGGGTCTATGTGGAGACACGTGATGCGGTGTCCACATGATGTCATTTTCGTTGATCCCGTGATCTTTTCTATTACATGTGCTAATGCGATTATACGGCGCAGGTAGACTACTATCAATCAGTTGTAGATATACGATCTATATCATTGTCAATCTGCTATCTGCCATCAGACAGCTTGTGTGGATATGGATCATCACTGCTTGTCTGGTTGTTGAGATCCACTGCGATTCAAGTCTCGGCTGGACCAGCTCGTTTGGGACTGTTATATCGTCTTATCATTGGTCGAGGGGCTATCTTTACCACCGTATGTAACTAATACTGGTACGTACTGCATTCCTGGCATCTTTCATCCACCGTGGGGTCCGTTCAATTGCGGGGTCTAACAATGCAATTCTTGTTCATTCCTACTTACTTCTTTT